CCAGACCCACCCGGGCGTCGTGACACAGCGACACCTCGGACAACTCGCCGCTCCAGACTCATACCGGGCCCTGCAGCGACACCCACGCGCCCCCAGGAGCATGGGGACAAGGACGTCCGCATTCCCACCATCCTGTCACCCGCCCTGCGTCATTGACATCCAGGGACTGGGCCGTCAACACGACCCGAGCCCGAGTCGCCCTGGTCCACGCTCCACCGTTACCCTCCGTGTCCTACCGCCCTGTCCCCTGTCCCCTGACCAGGCTCCCTGTTCAGCCTTCCTGGGTTTCCACTTGGCCCCGTGTCACCTGTGTGACCTGGGTAAGTTACCCAGCATCTCTGTGCCTCAGTCCCCACATTGGTTCGGCCCCACCCCAGGACGCCCAGGGCCTGAGTCATGGGGCTAATAATAACCTAAGCTTAGCAACAGCTGCCTCTGGGAGGGAGGGTCGGGAGAACTGTGGAGAGCCCGCCCAGTGCAGGGGCGGAGTGTTGGAAAGAATTAAAACTCGATGCAGTGGAAACCTGTCTGTTCTGGGCGGTAATTCCACGTGCCTGGGTTGCTCTGAGCCCTAGAGCTGATAGCTGCTCCTAGCCAGGCTATGGGACAGAGTGGAACTGCCCCACAGCACTTCCAAGGCTGTAAATCTTTATGGAAGCAGACTGCCCATCTTTCTCCCACCGAGTGCCTGGTGCGCTCAAATTCCTGGCTGTCAGTCAGCAGCCTGATGCTAACCACTGAGCCATAGGGCGCCTTCGGTAAGCCGACGGGGAGACCATTTCGATTCTGGAAAAAGCCTGTGGCTGGAAGGAGGCTCAGAAAGACAAGAGGAGAAAGCAGAATAGAGGATTGGCTAATCTCAAAGTGACCAACGGACCCTGCCCGGGCCTTTTACTGAGATCAGAGGACTGACACCTGCCCCCAAGAAGTTCTCTGGCCGGCCACCAGCCCTGTCTTTCGCAATTCAAATTTAGCAAAACCAGCTTCTAGCAGGAAAGGAAAGATCAGCAGTGCTGGGTGAATGAGAAGCTGCTGGCAGGACTAATTGTGGTTGAGTTTCTCTACATGAACATTTGGGTTTTGGGTAATGAAACCCCCCAAGTCGACTGTGACTGCTTCTCTTTGGGCGGAGGGAGGGTGGGGGCTGGTCCGGTGCCAGGAAGCTGACCACTCCTCCTGACACCGGACCGCCCCTCTGTTACTGCTTGTTTTCAGAAGTTCCCTCCCCATATCAGTATGAAAATTATTTTTGATGTAACTTTAAATATTTCAATGGTTTATTTTTCTGTTTTAGGCAAGATTTAATGGATTTTCATAGACTAAAATTTTCCTCTTTTGCTGATGTGAGAAAAAGTTAAAATATTTTCTTTAAAATGTGGAACAAAACTCAAAATCTTAAGACCAGGCTTACTGGTCTGATTGTTGTTGTTTTGTGCCGTCGAGTCAGACCCGACTCATAGCAACCCCTCCTTGGGTTTCCGAGGCAGTATCATTAACGGAAGTAGACTGCCCCATCTTCCTTCGGAGGAGTGGCTAGTGGATTTGAACCGCCAGCCTTCTGGTTAGCAGTCAAGTGCCTTAGGCACTATGCTACCAGAGCTCCCTCCTGGTCTGATAGAGGCTGTGGCCCGCAGTCACCCTTCAGGCCTGGAAATGAACTCACTCCCGCGGCTTCCGGCCAAACAGTGGGCAGGCCTGTGAGGTGAGCATTTACATCAGGTAGATACACTCCTTAGAACCATCACCCATGGGAGAACGAAGGGCAGCGTCTGCACAGGGAGACAGCTCGGGGGCAGGAGTGCACAGGCAAGGAGGCCATGGGGAGGCGGAGAGCTGTTGGGTTATGGGGACTGCGGTCAATGTCACTAAACAATGTGCACAAACTGCTGTACGGAAAACGAATTTGCTCTGTGAGCTTTCACCCAAATCACAATTTAAAAAAATTGTTTTAATCTAACACTAAAAGTTCATTTCTCTTTTTTTCTTTTTCTGATTTTAAAGGAAATTAAACATTTTTTTTGATTGATAAATCAAAAAAGTACCTCTTGATAAAAGTATAGTGCCCACCACCACCACCCCGCACATGCCTCAGTGCCTGCTGGGGAAGCTGGCTCTAGCCCCAGAAACCCCTCAGCCTCGGGCCAGGTGGGAGGGTTGGTCAAGCTTACTGTCACTCAGAGCTCCCATCCATCGGTCAAGGGCTGGGAATACAGCCCAGAATAAAACCACTCAATATTCCCAACTGGTCCCACCCTAGTGGGGCTCACAGGCTGATGAGGGGCAGGGACATAATGAACACAGGGTGACATACAGGGTGTATTGTGGGCTTCGGAAGCCGACCACCAGGAAGTAACGAGGACCTAGATCTCTTTCCTAACAAAGAAACCGCCGGGCAGAGTACAGGTACTGGCAGGGAACGGACAGGGAGCCCACTGGCTGCCGCCGGGGAGGGCCCCACGCGGAGCCCGGGTCTGCTGGAGTGGACGCGTTGAGCTGAGCGTCCTGGCCGGCAGAGGCGGCTGGGGGTCACTGGTGGGCACAGTTCGTGCTCGGCTGCTGACCGAGAGGTTGACAGAGAGGTCGGAGGGTCAAGTCCACTCAGAGGCCCCTCAGCAGACAGGCCTGAAAACCTGCTTCTGAAAACTGGGCCGTTAGCAGCCTTGGGGAGCCTGATGCACTTGGGGTCGTGGGAAAATGGAGTGGGGGTGGCGTCTGATGGCCTCTAACTTCAGAGGGGGTTCTAGATCAACAGCCCAGGGCTGGTTCCTGTGAGGCAGAGTCACACACGCCTCCACCCACCAACCTTTACACTAACCACTCCCTCCCACGGCACTCACTACTTCTCCGCTGGTTGAACTATTCATTGCAGTGGCCACACAGAACTCACACAGTACTCAGGATTATAGGGCTTATTAGGGAAGTCTGGGGGCACAGTGCCTCGGGTATTTGACTGCTAACCAGAAGGCTGGTGGTTCAAACCCACCAGCCACTCCTTGGAAGGAAGGTTGGGCAATCTACTTCCGTAGTGATGCTGCCTCAGAAACCCAAGGAGGGGTCTCTATGAGTCGGATCCAACTTGACAGCAGTGAGTTTTTTTTCTTTTCTTTTTTTCTTTTAATGGGTTACAATTTGGGATCAGAAACAACTCTTGATCAAGAAAGACAGCCTCTTCCCAGCAGTACCTGCAGGCATGTCTCTCTTTGGCCCTTGGCCTCTTGGCCCCTGGGGGCCCCCAAGCTCTCCTAACTGTGCAGGTAAGTGCCCAGAGGACCTCACTGCACCAGCAAGCCACCTGCCTGAGGGCGCTCAGCTAGCTCACTCAGGGCCACCCCCTGCACAGCCCCCTGCTGGGTCTCCCATTTCTGCTGCCTGTTCTCTGCCACCCCTTCTCAGCGTCTCTCGCTGTCTCCTGCCACCTCTCCAGGGTGACAGTTCTCCCTGGCTCCCTGGCTGAGCAGGTTCCCAGCACAGGGCCCTGGGTCCAAATGACACACTCCTCCCTCTCTTTTTCTGGGTGGTAGTCAGGTTCCCCCTTTCTGTCTCTGGATTGGCTCATTTTAAGCCTAGCAGGGTGGTAAAACTGACCAATCCGCACATTAGGGTCCCATACACCTTATTTGCATGGTCCCACCCCCACAATCACCTCACTTGCATAGTCCCACCCAGTCATCTGATGGAAGTCACAAAGACCATGGAGCCATGTTAAGTAATTCACTGCCCAAGAGGTTACCGCCTGTTGGAGTCAACTGAACAGAAACTTGTTTTTAATTCAAGAATAGAGGGAGGCCCCACCCAGTGTCCCAGGAGTCAGCTCTGGAGCGGTGACGGGGTGAGCACTCCCCTCAGCCCAAGGTGCTGGGGGCCCCATGGCTCTGTCCCCACCACTTCCAGCCCCCAGATCACCTCAGCTGTGCAGACTCTGGGTGCTGCTAAGGGAACCACCTCCTTCAGGGCTGCTAGGAAGGAAGGCGGGTGACCCCTTTGGCCCAGCCTCTCTGTCCACGGTCTCAGGGTCACGTGGGGAGTCACCTCTTCTCTTTGCACACATGCCCATGGGGTCAGGGTTGGGGTCAGGGGAGTCAAGGGCAGGTGAAGGGCAGGCTGGGCTGCCTAGTGGGTCACAGAGGGGTTAGGTCATCTTTTGGGGGCTCTGTCTGTCCATCTAGCTGCAGCTAAGATGTTCCAAGGGATGCTGGGGCCTGGAAGCCAGAGGTCGGGCTGTGATGGGCTGGGAGCTGTGACTGCTCTTGGGTTGAGAGAGTCCCTGGGACCTTGTCCTGTGGCCGGTGACCTTGTGGTCCACCACCCCACTTACTGTGCTGCCCGGAGCCCTGCTCTGGTGGCCACATGGGCCGGGGGCCACCCCAGACCACTTCTCCCCCATCTGGACCTTCTCTGTGGCCTGCCCTCCCACCCCCCCAGGTGGCCTCAACCCTTTCCCAGCCTCCAGGGCCTTGAGTGGAGTCCTCCTCCTCCCCAGCCACACCCTGGCCTTCCTGGTGGGGGACCCACCGGCACAGTTCTCCTGGGGGGGAGGGCTGTGCACAGAGCACAGCTAATCCTGTAGGAGGAGGTCCCTGTCCCCCAACCTGGTGCCCCTGTACCTTTGGATGCAGGTTCAAATCCCAGCTGAGCTGTGGGGTGGACAGGGAGTCATCCCTCTCTGAGCCTTGACTTCCACCCCGGAGGTAGGGTGGGTCTCCGGCCTGTGGGTCCCTACCCACTGCTCCCTGCCGGTCTCCACAAGTGAGGCACAGAGGGGCCCCGGGGCGGCAGCGCAGGCTGGCTGGGAAATTCCGAAAGTGCCTCCCAACGCCCCGTGCTCCTGTGGCCACCAGAGGGCACGCTGGCCCGGACACCTGGAGCTACTGCAGCACCCCGACTCAGGAGCAGCGCGAGCAAGGGTCAGGGGGTGAGGGTGCGGGTACATCTAGGACCGCTGGCCCCAGCCACAGGTGACGTTATTGACGGGTGCTGACTGCACAGCACAGTGCCACCTGCGCACGTAGGACACCGAGGCTTAGCAGGTGGAGGGCGCATGCTCAGTCTGGGCGGGCCACAGACCCTGGCGGAGACCAGGGCGGGCGGGCTCTCCCAGGACCCCAGTTTAGGGGGCGGGAACTCTGAGGCGGGGACCCATGGTGGCCTGGGGTCCCGAGAGAGGCAGGATGGCCGCCTGGTAAAGGTCTGAGAATCCCAGCTCCAGAGCAGCCAAGCCTCTAGAGCCCCCAGTCCTCCTGGGGGGACAGTGGAGGTGCCCCTCTCACAGGAGAACAAAAGGAGGCAGTGTGGGCCTGAGACCTCGCCCCATCCTATTATCCCTCCCCCGCTGCCTAAGCCCACAGGGCTTCCCTGGGCAGGCCTGCAGGGACAGGGCGCCCAGGGCCTCAGAGGGTGCACTTCCCCCAGCCTCCTGGCTGCCTGTGGACAGCCTCCCCCAGCCCACCGTTCCTATACCGGGTGAGGCCTGGTCGAGGCGACTGCTGGGCTCAGCTGGGAGGGGGTCACACTGAGGCAGCTCAGACTGTGGCTGCCAGCAGGGAGGGCCCAGACAGGTCCAGGAGCCCGACTTCAGGCAGGTGTCCCAAACCGGGCTGTGGATGCTGTGGGGCCCGGCTCAGGCGGGCGCTGCCTAGAAGCCCTTCTCCCCACCCCTCAGCTGGGGGGTGGTGGCGCTGGGAGCTGCCTTCCCAGCCCCGGCTGCTGTGCCACCCCCGCACTGGTCCTGGCCTCTGGGAGCCGGCAGGCACCCACGTGGCCACTGCTGGTCCCGGTGGCACACCCTGAGACCCGAGGGCCACGCGCCCCAGCGTCCCCCAGCCCTCCACTCCCAGAGCCGCACAGCTGCAACGACATTAATTACGAATCATTTATCTTGATGCAGAGGTTCGAGTAGAAAAATAAACGGAAACCAGACAAAAGAAACATGACAGCAGAGGCTTCCAACGGCAGGCAGTCGAGGGCCCGCTGGGGCGGGATGGGGTGGGGGATGGGGAAGGTGGGAGGGGAGACTGCGTCCTCTCGCGTGGTGGGGCCTCCAGTCACCACACTGCTGTGTCAGGAGGAGTTGGGGAGTCCCAGCCTGTGGTGTCAGAACCCCCATCGTGGATGGGGAAGGACGGTGGAAACCCCCTGGGAAGGGCGGGGACAGGGGCGGGCCCCGGGGGGGTCACAGGATGAGGGCGAGGAGGCCAAGGGCCAGCACCAGGCCGAGGGTGGCCCTGGCGAGCGTGGAGGCCCCGGCCAGGCTCTCGTTGCACAGGTCCCCCTGGCAGCACTGGGTGGTGGCAGAGCCGCTGCTGACCTGGCCCTGGTGGGTGGAGCTGGGTGTGCAGGACTCAGCGCAGTCCTTGTTCACCAGGTTCCCGGACAGCGGTTCCACTGGGGGACCGGGGCACTGTCAGAGGGCGCCCGCCGCGCCTGCCCGCTCCCACCCTGGCTCTTCCAGCTCACATCCGGGGCAGCCCAAGCTCAGTGTCCCCGAAGCTGCTGTGGCCCCCGCTGCCCTCCCCCGCCGCAGCGTGTCCAGCTCCTGCCAGTGTCCCCTTGGCCGCTGCTGCCCGCCCCCACCCCAGCCTCTGCAGGCCGCCCCGGGCTAGTGCTTACGAGTGGTCACCGTCCTGCAGAAGCGAGAGTTGGCCGGGCAGGTCTGGGCCTTCTTGCAGTTGGAGGAGTTGATGCACACATGACACTGGAGAGCCTGGGCTGGAGGAGGGGTCCAGGGTCTCAGGGAGGCTGGGAGGTGGGGCTCACTGCCCCCAAAGACCCCTCCCGCATTCCTGCCTAGGCTACCCCTGTGGGCCTGTCACGGTGCCTCAGGGAAATGACTTCTCTGGCCCTGGGAGCCCCCAGAGGAGGCATCATGGCCAGTCCAGTGTAATCACGTCCCGGAGACCTGGGCTTCTGAGGCTGGCTGAGAGCAGGCCCGGGGACCTCCAGGATGCATGCCCCGCCCTGCAGCCGGGGCTTCAGAAGGTCCTGGGGCTGAGCTGGGGCCAGGGGCTGGCAGCTTGGCTGCTGTGAGCCTTGGGGGGCAGGACTGTGGCCTGGGGACTGGGGGGCAGGGAGGGGCTGGTTGGCAAAGCCTGGATGCCCGGGATCTTTCCCCAGGGGGCGTCTCAGACAAGCCCAGCTCCCCTCCCCGGCAGTCCCGAATCGGGTCTAAGAGTCTCTGATTCTGACAGAAGCCAACAAGTCCCCTGAGGGAGATGGAGACCTTTTAATTCTAAGATTCTGGGGCTCCGAGAGGGGAGCACACCACAGTCTCTGAGCTCTCAGTCACCCCCAGTTCCGCCCAGCCGCTCACCTGGCCCAGCGGCCATGGCCAGAAGGACGAGGAGCAGCAGGGCTGACTTCATTGTGGGCGTCGTCTGCGAGAAGTGGGGGGCCCCCTCCCCAGAGCCCTTATAGCTGCCACAGGCAGGGCGGGGTGGGGTGGGGTGGGGCGGGGCAGCCAGTGGCATTCTGGGGACCTGTGTGTGCGTCAGCCCCGGACAGGGACCAGCCCTGCCCTGCCTGGCTCGCACCCACCCTCTGCCGGGGCCTCAGGGCCTCATGTCTCACCCTTCGCTCACTCCGCTGCCCCTTCTCTCTGTCTGTACCTCTATAGAGCTTTGCTCCATGTGTCCCCCCTGCATCACTCTGTTCTTCCGGCCCCTGTCTGACACCATCCTGTGGCGCCCCGTGGGTGCCTGTGGCAGGGCGCGTGGGGCAGGGGAGGCAGGAGGAGGCCTCAGGTCGAGGGTGTGAGGGTGTGGGTGCTGGGGGAGGCAGAGGAGTGGGCCCTGGGCAGTAGGAGGGTGTGAAGATGCCTCACAGGGCCTGGTAGACAGTAGGTGCCGAGTAAGTGCAGCTGGAATGATGTTGGAGGCCCAGCTGGATGGGAGAGGAGTCTGGGTCGATGGGGGATGGGAGGGGCCCCTTGGGGCCAGGCCCTCCACCGTCTGCACCCCTCATGGGTCTACATGTCTCTGCTCCTGGCCCCAGGCTGGGTGTTCTTTCAGACTGGCCCCCCGAGCCCACATAGGGTCCAAGGTGGGGCTCCCGTTCCCTTCCTCGTCTCAGGCTCTTAGAGCATGGCCCCTAGCCCTGTGTGTCCCCATCCCCAGGCCCTGGGATCTAGGGGCCATAGTAGGAGGGGCCCAGATGGCCCTCACCCCTTCCTGCTCCACCTGGACACAGCAGGGGGATGGGGGCAGGCCTGGGGGGTGGGCTAGGGGTGGGGCAGGCTGAGGGGCTCAGAGCTGGCACAGACCCCCAGGCCTGCCCCTGTGACCTCGGCAGTTGTTTCCTTTGTCACCTCCCATCTTCCCTGTAAGTGACGCGGACGTCAAGCCTTCATCAGGGGCCTGGGGGGGACCGGGGACACTGCCTCCAGGGGTATCTCCCCCCAGTTACTGGCCTGCGGGACCACTCAAAGGCGGTGTCTTCAGGACCTTGGAGGAGGCAGGGAGAGATGAAGGCAGGGCCCCCAAGGCTGCCCATCCTGCCCTGCTCCAGGCTCAGGGGGCTTGTCTAGGGCAGCTGGGGACTGGCCTGGCCAGGCAGGTAAAGCAGGGGTGCCCACACCCTCACCCAGAGGGAAGCCCCCAGACCCCATCCCTCTGAGACACAGCTGATGAGAGGCGGGGCTGGGGGGCGGGGGAGGGGGATTGAGGGGCCCTGGGAAGCAGACACAGGGCTCAGTGACTGGTCCCGGGGTGGGGGTGGCAGGTGAGGAGGGGTGACTCATGAGGCTCCCCTCCCCCCAAGGTTCTGGAAGAACGGGTTTGGGAGAGGCAGTGGGATTCCTCCAGGACCTAGTGGGGCTGGAGTTCCAGGGAGTGCTGCACAGGAGACGGGC